CTGATGACCTTCCTCCTTATTTCTTAAGGTTAGCTGCACACATCCTTGCAGAACTGGTGGCTCACATCTTTAACCTGCCCATAAGCCAAAATACCATTCCAAACGCTTGGAAAACAGCTTTTGTTCTACCTTTACTGAAGGAAGGAAACCCCACTATACTGATCAACTATCGACCAATCTTTAAACCTGCATTCTTGCTAAGGTTTTAGAAAAAATTATAAATTCCCAAGTAGAGAAGTATTTGGATTCTTATCTTACCTCTCCATCAATCTGGTTTCAGGAAATTACAGCTTTGCTGAAGGTTTTTAATGACATTGTTGAAGCATTGGATGCTAAGGACTATTGTGCTGCACTTTATTTAGACCTGTCTAAAACTTTTGACACTGTGGATCATGACATCTTGTGTCATAAGCTCTCAGAAAATGGTTTCTCAGATCACACTATTGGTTGGTTCTCTAACTATTTGTCAGATCGGAGGCAATGTGTTCAACACAATGCCAACTGTTAACTGTTAACTGTTAACAATGGGAGTGGTGGTGCAGAGGTTAGAGAAGATGGGCCTGTGATCAGAAGATCGCTGTTTCAACTCCCGGTACTGACAACATCAAAATGTGGGTAGAATATGTGAATCACCCACACTTATCTCCACCCTCACTTGTCCCACTCTGGGCCCTTGAGCAAGGCACTTAACTCCACCATCTGCTCCTCCAGGGCGCCCTAGATAGCAGCTCGCTGCTCCACACAGAGGGCTGTGGTAGTTCAGTGGTCTGTGGTTGCATCAGGAAGGGCATCCGGAGTAGAAAATAATTCCCAAGTCTTTGTGCAACTTTGTTTGCTGTGGCAACCCCTGACAAAGGGAGCAACCAAAAGAAGAAAAACAAACAAAAAAACAATGGTGTACCACAAGGCTTAGTCTTAGGACACACCCTCTTCACAATCTACATATGTAATGTAGGTCAGATCATTCCTGACACATCCTCACATTTCTATGCAGACAGCACAGTTGTTTATTGTCGAGCTAGAACAGTTGTTAATGTTTTCCAGCTTTTACAGTCTGCATTCATCATCATCCAGTCAGATTTGTTCTGTATCAAACTTTGTGCTAAATGTTGATAAAACCAAAGGGATGTTGTTTTCAAACAGGAAGTCGGTACCAGCAGTCCTTCCTTATATCTTATCTATGACTGGTGTTCCTATTGAGTTTGTTGATTCTTATAAATACTTGGGTAATTTGTATCTCTTTTTTAAACCTCGTGTCGAAAACTTGGTAAAGAAACTGGAAGTTAAATTGGGGTTCTTTTGTAGAAATAGATCCTCTTTACCTCTGAATGCTAGAAAACACCTTGTAACTGTGACTTTCCTTCCCGCCATTGATTACGGTGACATTATTTACATGAATGCTCCTGCAAGCACCCTGCAGATGTTGGACACTGTCTATCACGGTGCACTAAGATTCATAACTGGCTGTAACTACCGTACCCACCACTGCACCCTGTATTCACTGGAACTGGTCATCATTAAATTCACGCAGACTCTCTCACTGGTACATTTTCATCTTTAAATCACTTCTTGGTCTGTTGCCTTCATATAGCTCCTCCTACATGTCACTTCTCCAGTGCAGCTACAGCGTGCGCTCTCAAGACATCATTACCTGCAGCGTCCCCTCAGTGCTGACTGATTCCGCAAAAAGGACTTCTGTTACTCCGCTCCTGTTTCCTGGAACATCTTGCAAAAAGCTCTGAAGTTGTCGACTTTAACCACTTTAAGGGATTTTAAACAACTTCTAAGTTCATGGCATAAACCACTGGAGACATGGTCCTGTTTTTGGTATTTTACATTGCTTTATAATGTAGCTGTTTTTGTTTAATTTTTATATAATTTCTCATTTTTATTCTTCATTTTATATGCTTTTTATATGATTTACACTCAAGTATATGCTGAAGACTCTGTTTTTTGATGAATAAGACTTCAGATGAGTATTTTAAATACA